GGCTGATCGGGTGAGAGTTGCCATGTGGGCACCTTTCTCTTATGTGTTCAGCTTGCTGGTCTGGCTGTTTCCCATGCCAACTGTGGGCAACCTCAGCTCACTGTTTGTACCACCTGTTGTGGGCCGAGTTGCATCTTTTGTGGGATTGTTGGGGGTGGCATCGATCATGTCCCAGCTGATTGATCTGTTTGTACCCCCAGCGATCATTCATTCAACATCCTTTTTGTATACAATATAGTCTGTGTATTGGTTCATCTTCCTGCTGGTGCTATCATTTTTGTTGGGCCTGGTCATTGGCAGAACAGGGAAGCAGGAAACTTGGACTGCAGTTCCCATGATCTGTCACAGCTGTGTAGAAGTTGAAAAATGTTGAAATGATTTTGAATTATCTAGGACATTTTCTATATTGTCCCATGCTATCCCTCCTGAGGATGTGAGCTTGAATTTTTTTCATGGTGGTTGTCTCAAGTAAACATGGGTTCAGTCTGTAGTCATAAATGCATTTCATAGACCAATTCATGTAAGATATTTTAGTTTTAGCTTTATGCACATAATATGCCTTACTTTTCACATTGAAGGTTAACTCAAACGAAGGTAAATGCAGCCCTACAACGTGTCTTCTCAGTTTTGAATCAGAACCTTTCAAAACCAGAATTGTACACAATTTTTACCCCCCATGTGTTTTGATCCCTCTTTCTTGAATCGCTGCCCTACTGCATTAGTGATATTCAAGATACAGCACCGAGTTAAATGATGAAGTTAAGATGTTCTTAAATCCATGGGAAAACCTCACAATGAGTAAACAGTCATAATTCAATACAGTTGCACAGGTTTCCATACCAGTTCAGAAAGGGGTTCCATTTTATGATCTAGTGAACTATATAAAAGGGAGATGCAGAACACACGCAGAATCCCTGGCATTTGTTTCCCTGTCTCACCACACTCCTAGCCTTTTGCCTAATTTCTTATCATAACTAAGCAATCTTTTTTCCTTTCCTTTGCAGATATACCCAGACCTTCCACAGCCAAACAGAACAGATAAAAAACTTTTTTTAGGCTGGCTGCAGAAGACCCAATTCTGTTTGACTGTCACCTTTTTGGATAAATACTTTGAGGTTCAGGATGAATAAGACAAGGGCTGTTAATGATGGTCTTCCTTTCCTGAACAGTAAGAACTGGAGCTCAAATCGAAGCTTCCCCATTCACATTTCTAATCAGTGTAGGAACATTACTGACCTTACTGTCTTTCTAGCCACCTCTTACAGCTTGGAGACTGTCCTAGGCATTGTGGGAAACATCTGTCTGATTGCTGTCATTGCCAGGCAAAAGGAAAAGGCCAATGTCACCAACATTCTAATTTCCAACTTAATACTTTCAGACTTGTTTATGTGTCTTGTCTGTCTGCCTTTCACTGTTGTTTACACCATGATGGACTACTGGATGTTTGGGGAAGTCATGTGCAAAATGACCTCTTTCACTCAGTGCGCATCTGTGACAGTGTCAATTCTTTCTCTTGTCCTTATTGCTCTGGAAAGACACCAGCTCATCATAAACCCAACTGGCTGGAGGCCAAGTATCTCCCAAGCCTATCTAGGAATTGGAGTAATTTGGGTTTTAGCATGTCTCATGTCCCTGCCCTTTTTGACCACATCCATCTTGTCTAATGATTTGTATAAGCAGCTCTCACACATCATGAATTTTTCCACTGACAAGGCTATATGCATCGACTCGTGGCCTTCTGAGCAACACAGACTTATCTACACTACCACTTTACTGCTCTTGCAATATTGCATCCCGCTGTTCTTCATTATACTTTGCTACTTGCGTATCTACTTACGTCTGCAGAAGAGAAAGGACATGTTTGAGAAGAGTGAATACAGCAACCGAGCAGTCCAGCTGAGAAGGATAAATATTTTGTTAGCATCCATGGTTGCTGCTTTTGCTGTTTGCTGGCTACCGCTGCATGTGTTCAACACTATTGTAGACTGGAATTACAAGATTATTTCACCTTGCCACCACAATCTGATCTTCTCGTTGTGCCACCTGGTAGCTATGGCTTCTACCTGTGTGAATCCTGTTATCTATGGTTTCCTAAATAGCAACTTCAAAAAAGAAGTGAAGTCACTGATTCTGAGCTGCCAGCATAATTCAGTCACTGCATCAATGGAAGAATATGATCATTTGCCATTATCCACCATGCAGACTGAAATTTCCAAGGGCTCGCTGGTGTTGAACTGCCGACATAATTCTATCTAGCTAGTAGAAAACATTTCAGAGGGGTGTACTGACACCACACACCAATCATATTACCTGTAGGTATAAAAAACACCTGGTCATGCCATAGCTGAGATGTCAACAGGAACCTATTATTGACTGATTTTTGGAAGAACAGGTAAAGGAAGGTCAGAAATATATATAGTAGCTCCTATGGTACACAAGTTGTTCATGTCATTGAGATGGTACAGACGTTAAGGAAACTGGGCTGATGGATACACAGCTGCTCTAACAGACCAGTAGCTGAGCTGTGGCTGCACATCAGCTGACATGGTGTTCATTAGCTACGCTCACATCTCTACCATGGCTGTGGTAGAAATCCAGAGTTCAAATTTCGGCACTACCGGCTGCCAAGAGTTGCATTAGAAGTGACTTCCCATTTTTCAGTATTAGCAAGATTTTTACGCACAACAGACACACCAGTGGAACAGAGAGGTAAATATATACAATTTGTATTCTTTACCAGCTCTCACAGACCATTGGGTAACAGCAATATTTCAGCAGACAGAGTTTGCATCTGAAAAATGGATGTTTGTATGAAATTTCTCTCTGTCATACAGGCTTGGGAACAGCCATTGTCTCTAAGTATGGACACAGAACAATGACCCTGGTACGTAGATAAGACAGTTACTTATTGAGGGATGGTGGCAAATGCAAATGTTACTCAATGGATTAAACTCTTAAAACATGTCGAGATGATGCTGAGCACTGTTTTTAAGCAAATGAAAAATAGTTCTAGATCTACATGGAAGTGACTGACTTTGCAATTCTTGCTGCTGTCAGTCACTAAGCTCTGCAATTCTAAAACTGCGTACCATGATATTACAAGGCAGCTGGATTACTGGAGTTCTTCTAGGTCTTGGTAGAAAGATGTCCCTTCTGCTTCAGCACCTCCTTGGTACTTCAACAGCTCATTCAGAAGGTCAGAATGAGCATGAAAATGTTTTTAGAAGCTGTGTCTTTTCAAAGTGGATACACTCCCAAAGAAATAAGCGTTAACATAGAAGCTTTCAGTTTCTTGTTAAAATAAAACCAGATGTCAGATACCAGTCCCACTTGCTGGCATTAGCAACAGAGGTGGAGCTGAAATTTCGACTAATCAGTAAAAGGTCAATGAAAATACACAAGTGGAATCCTTGTCAAGTTGAAGCCAAGCTACACGTAAACAGTAGTATTGTCAGTTGTTTGACTGAAGTGAGAGTCATGCTTTTGTCACATCTGTGGTATTTTTAGTCTTTGCCTCCAAGACCTACAAACCATAAACTCATTAACCTCTGAAGCCAGAGACATTGCTCAGTGACTACTGAGAAACCAGGTCGGTATGCCCTGCCCACAAAGCCCATACTGAGGAACAGATGAAAAAAAGACAGCAAGTGTAGAAAGACCAGCCAGGCCAGTGCAAAAGAAATGTGGAAGCTTATTCTGTTCTGAGTTGTTAAACTAACCTTAGTAGAAGACTGGACCAGGTGACCTCCTGAGGTAATTTACAGCCTGAATTCTGCTATGATAGGTAGTTGTTATTCATTGTAGTCAATGGGTTTGTACTGAGTTGAAGGTATCCAATATATAGTTATGCAGACAGCTAGAAATCCCTTAGCTAGAAGTTCTCTGATTAGACAAATTGGTAAATAGTTAGGTGACAAAAAAAATCCTTCCCATGCTGTGGTCTGAAAAGCAATGTGGATGTTGGACAGAGGACCTGAAACAAAACCTTATGCTATAAGGTAGCAAGAGATATCAACAAATATAAAAGCATATCTTCAGCTAGCAGACATGCTGTGAGCTAGGTGAGCAGAAATTGGTGACGAAACTTCGAGTTTGGACTTGAATTCCTGTGTGCAGAGTCTTAAGGCAGAAGCTATCTTGATGCAGCCACCCTTCTAATTCAGGGCAGAATCTGTGTATCTCAGAGTTCAAGTGCAATTATTTTTACATCTTCTCCAGTTATCTGACAAAACATTTTTGCTTCTTTCAAAAGGACTTCTGCCTTTTTTTTTTGTTACTTGCCACAGTACAATGAAAAGATGTTTCTCTTGATTTGTGTGTACGCAATGTCATTTCCAGCCTGGACACTGAGTCTATTACAAACACAGAACAAGGGGACTCTCTTTTTATCTTATATGCAGCTTGAAATTTGCTACTGTGGCTGAAACCAGAGCTGATACAACCATGTGATGCTAAGTAGCACAAAACACAGTCACTCCTGCTCATCAGCTATAGCAAAACTGTGTTATTTGTGTTCTTTGTGTTATTATATACCAAAACTGTGTATATTTTATTATTTGAGAACTTAAATAAATACTGATTAAATTTTGTAGTGTTTTTGTAGTTAGGATCAATTTCATCCAAATAGCCTTGAGTAATCCTGCCTGTTTCTTGCACTTGTTATAATTCCAACATTCAACCAAGATGTGTGTCAAGCTGTGAGAGTACTCTGCTAAACACAAAGCTAGAAGATTATCTGATTTATAACCTTGAGTATACAACTTTTCAAGCACCAGTGACTCAAGTGGAAACACAATTACCTTCAAAATTTGTACTTCCATGAACACATCTTTGTCACTAGTTCTAAGTGAAAACTTTTTTTTGGAGCACTTACAGTGTGTCAGAGACCTGTTACTAAAGCTATATATTGGCATTTTGCATCAGGTCCCAGTTCTTCCTGCAGAGAGTAGAAATACCAGTGGGGTTTAGTTGTAATTCATGTGGCCATTTGTATCCATAATCACAAGTAAATATGTAAAGCAAGCAGATCCAGCCTTACAGTAACCCAGACAGACAAACAGATTTATCTTCCTCTAGTGATTAAGGGGAGTGTCAAGTCTGGAGTCAAGTACTGTTTATTGCTAACAGACTTCAGATTGGATAAACTAAAGGATTTAAACACTAAAAGAAACCAAACTGCACCCATACATCTAACTGCAAAAATGCAAATCCTCAAAATTCCCAAGCAGCTGCTGCCTATCCATCTACTTACACACCATCCTGAGGTACTTGTTTTTCAACCATGCATAAGCCCTATCTTTATTTTATCAGTCATCCTGCTGGCACAAATAGCCGTATAAGAAAGGTGCCTCTGTCATCACTTTTACACTCTATGTGACATCAAGGCTTATGTGGCTGTGCACAAAAGCAGTAGAGGATGTTCTGCTAAGTTTTCAAGAACTGCTCTAGCAATTGTTCCCTTCAAAGGCAAAGGTAAAAGGCTGGATTCAGTTATGCCTGCATAGTGGAAAGAGCCATTTATTTGTCATTTTGAGGCTTTAATGTAACCAAGGGGAGCTATGGCTCCTCGGTCTCAGCAGAGGGTAACACAACAGAAATGACTTACATACATCTTACCCGTTTGTAAATAACAAGTAAGATTCATATCTAAGGAGGATCAAGCATTTTTGTGTTTGTGGTATACTGTGATGCTTCTGAGTATGCTTTTTACAAAGCTCTGCTAGTGAATTACAAAATGAATATCAGGGAAATATGCAGGAGTTGTGAAAATCATGAGATCACACAATTATGAGACTTTACCTGGCTTTTTTTTCTTTTTTTAAAGCTTTTTATAATCCTGCCTCTCGTGATATGTTTTAAGATCATAAGGTTTTCAGAGCAAGTAAACAACTTACTGCTGTGACATTAAGTGGCACACTACGGGGAGTCTAATAACAACAAATAAAATAATATTGCCTGTGTTATTTCAATTCTCTGTGCCTCCTTCTGTAAAATGACATACTATTTGTAGTATAAAGCGCATAAGATTTAGTTCTCAGTTTTTATCAAGAGAAAAACAAGTTATACTGTATGGTAAGAGCCACTGAAGTGTGAAAGATTAATATCTTGAGATGTTATTCCTAAGGACAGAAAATGGTGCTGTACAGCCAGCCAAGGAGGGCATAGTATCAAAAAATCAACACAAGATACTGGAATATTGTAGTGCCAGGACTCACATCATCCTCACAGATTTCCCAGATTGTAGGAAGATGCGTCCTACACTGCATACTGTTCTGAACCCCGGCCAGAACCTCAACCAGAAAGTAACTGAGACTGCTGAGATGAAAACTGGTGGGGGACACATAATAATTTTATTTAACCTCAGAAATGCTTTGACTGGGTTAAAAGAATGGGTAAAATTTCTCTGATCTGTGTTGCTTGCCTCAACAAAGTAACCCAAGGTACTGCAGATGACCACAGACTGTGCCATAAGCAGGTTGGTTGTTACATCTGTGCACACAAGGGAAGAATGCAATAGCAGTATCTGCTACCTGTCTGGCATCTTGTTGTGTGTCATAAATGTGGTGTAACCCTCCACAGCAGTTGGTAAGGTTGTTGCAACAGCAGTCAGGTAGGGTCTGCACCACAGGCCTGATATTTGCAAATGCAGTGTACATGCCAGTATGAAGCACAATGATCTAAGGGGGTTTATTATAAATTAAGACATCACATCCTAAGGACACCTTAAGGCATTCTTTTACTTTGACCTGTGTGACTTCTCACAAGATCACTTGACATTTCTTTTACAGGTCATTCTCTTCAAATTTTCTAATTCATTAAATACTGGACTGATTTTAAGACCAGTATTCATTTCAATGGAAAGTAGTGTTGCTTAGCACCACGGGTAGTCTGGGTTTGCATTTTATGAGTATCAGCATTGGCACAGCTTTTATGACCTTCCCTCATTTTCTCAGTTTTGCAAAGTCACTTCTTTGAACTCAGGACATCAGAAGTACAATAAGCCTGAGATTTATACCTTTGTATAATACCTTTTCCCGCAGGAAGATGCTCATTAGGCCTTGGTCAGAATTGTTTTGTTGCCCTTCCAGTAAGTGCTTAGTAAATAGGAAGCCCACTAGCAGCACAGAGATTATACTTTGGAAACCTGACATGAAGTAGAATTCCAGAGATTAATTTGAGTTCTAAAAACAGACACCCTACCATCCATTTATAAACAATGCTCATCACTGTAGTATTCATTTCATACAATATAAAAT